ATAAAATACAAGTTTTCATTTATTTTTAAAAACGTAAAAATTTTTACAAAAACACTAAACCATTGGAAATAACATGAAATGTCTTTTACTCATTAAATCAAAATTTTCAAAACACAATCAAAAAAACAGAATTCAGTTGACTTTTCAAAGGGGAACGGGAGTTGAGTTTTGGAGAAGGAATGGGGGATAGGGATCATTCGGTAACAACTTGAATACCCGAGTCATTTAGATATTGACATTTAGATAACGTTAGACATGAGGGGACAGTCAGATCCGCATCGATGATGAACTGCTGTCTAAATAGTACTGTTATATCCGAGTCAGTCAGCACTGTCTCATCCCTGTCCTCCCAGCCCTCCCTTTGTTATAATAATCTTTTAATTTATATAATCTCTGAAGTCATAGATAAAACAAAGTATTGCATACAATATACAATGTGTTGGTATTTATGACATTACTTACGACAATACGAGTGAATTGATTGCATATCTGTTGCTATAATAACACAATCTATTTGTGAACAACAATTGCATTCATTTATTACAATACTGTTCAGTAAACTAATAATACAATTAGTTTTAAACACAATTTATTTTATAAACGATTATTTTTATTAATTGTAAAAATGTTTTAACTAATAAATAATAATAATTTTGTTATTTTATGTGATTCCTAACAGTATTTAAATACTAATTAATTTTAATTAGTCATAAATAACAATAAATCACATTAAAATAAAGTACTTTAAATATAAATTCAGTTTTGTTTTAAATTTGAAAATGTGTTCAATTTTAGAGAAGTTTAAAATTTGTGATAAAATTGACTCGAATTTAAAACAAAAAATTAAATTATTTCATGTTTTTAAACATGAGTTTTGGGGTAAATTAGATCACAATATATTATTTATAACCACCGATGATATGGTGCATGGATTGGGAGGTAATAATAAAGGATGTCTTGGATTGGGTCACAACGAGTCCATTGGTTCGCCACAACTTATCCCAGAATTATGTCATCAAAACATTCAGACATTTATTATTGGAACTGAGTTCGTGTTGGCTATGAATAGTGTGAACCATATCTATAGTTGGGGTCACGATATGAGGGGACAGTTGGGTAGAGATGTGACATTCATTATTCATTATTCAAAAGCCGAGAGAATATCGTATTTCGACGACAAAGATGTCCAACAAATCAGTTGTGGTTATCATCACTCACTGGCCCTCACATCCAGTGGACGGGTGTATGGGTGGGGGTGTAATGAATACGGACAGATTGGTTGTGACCAAAAAAAATATATAATTAGAAAACCAATTCTAATACAATTCGCAAATAATCCCAAAATACAAACAATTTATTGCAATTATAACTATTCATTTGCCATCACTTATGAGGGACTTGTGTTCAGTTGGGGTTATAATGGATACCTTCAATTGGGACACAATATAGAGTACGAAAAGATATTTAGTCCTAAACTCATATCTACTATAAATGACATCAAAACTATTACTTCATCATATGTTATGAGTTATTTTTTATTAAACAGTGGTTTAATATATTTTTATGGACATGATAATTCATATGAAGAATATATTTCTGTAAAACCCAAAAAATTGGAAACCAATAATTATTTTATAGAATTACCACAAATTGACTCGTTTTATGATCTTGATACTCTATTCCCAGTTGTGTTAACAAACGACAAGTTATATGAAATACACGGAATTCAATTGAATGAAACAACCTATAATAATTATTTTGATTTCTACGCTAATGAACACCAAATAACATACAAAACATATAACAATGATATTGACATTGATTATTATAAATATCTGTTTAATGAATGCTATGATAAAACATTTGACGAGTTGTCGGTCATAGGATCGGGTGGTTTTGGGACAGTATTGCAAGTGAAACACAAATTTGATGGACAGGTGTTTGCCGTAAAACAAATTAAAATTAATGGTAATTAAAAAATTTAATTGTAAAATAATTTTTAATTTAAAAATTTTATATAAATATTCAGATTTTGATGAAAGAGAAGTGCAAAATCTAATGAATGTTAGATCAGAATATGTGGTCAGATATTATCACTCATGGCGTGAACCGGATTTTGGTTACATTCAGATGGAGTGGTGTTCACAAAGTCTTCGCAATATTCTTGAAGTCAAACATTTAGTATTTGAAAGACAATTGGGACAACACATGGATTTATACGAGTATTTCATTTCGTGTGAAATATTTCGACAGATCTTAGAAAGTGTTAAATACTTGCATGGATTGAATCCACAGCGCATTCATAGAGACCTCAAACCCGAAAACATAGTGATTGCAAATAATGTAGAAAACGGCAGATTTGTGAAGTTATGTGACCTCGGATTGTGTACAGTTCACGACAAACGCATTCACAACAGGACTTCACAGAAACATACGGCAGACAGAGGGACACTAGAATATCAGGCACCAGAAGTTGGTCAGGGTAGAAAATATGACCACAAATGCGACATATATAGTGTGGCACTAATTTGTGGTGAATTATTTGACCTTGATGTTCTGCGTAGTGGATCTAAAATGTATATTTTAAAATTTATAATTTGATCCTTTTATTGCAAAATAATTAAATTAAACATTTATGTATTGATATATATATAGCTCGCAAGCATATTCACCGGATAATAAAACTCTAAACTCATCAGTGTCTCAGCTATACAAATGGTTATCTAAAATGATCTTGCCCGATTGGCCTACACGTCCGGAATGCAGTGAATTGTTGGCTAAATATGACGAGTGGGCTATCGATAGGAATATTCTTATAAATCATACGGAATTCAAGCCAACATTAAATAGACTGAAATCTAATGACAACTCATTTTTCCATCAATTCTTGACAACAGTTATCACACGACATGTGACACCACTTTCATTGACACAAAAACTTCGGAAAAGTTTAAAATTATTTTAAACACAATTTATAATTTAATAGAAAATTAATTATTTATAATAACTTATTATTAATCAGTGCTAATCCATAGCTCATACAAATATAGTATTAAATTATGTGATGTAAAAATCTAAATAACTCAATTATTAGTTAATTTAATTTTACAATCTGTATTACAATTATAAGTTAGTAATTATGATTACTATTTAACATTATGTATAGAATATAAACTTATTTTGTATTCAAAAATGTGAAAATATTTTATTATAAACATTAACAGATATATCACTTGAATAAACAAAACAAAAAGTTTTTAATATTTGAGAAAATGTGAAACAAGTCCTCGAAAGTCGCCGACAATTGTCTTAATTATGATTATAATTATCTGAAAGTGTCTTAAAGTCTGTGTCAAAGGCTACTAACTCTTTGGTCATCCCTTTATCGCAGTCTTCGTGAGCGCTGTGGAGGTTTGGTCGCTTTTTTGGGTCCTTTTCTGGACTTCTGGCACCGGACTCATCACCGGAACCCTCATCGCCCTCACCATCAGATTCATCGTTATTGCCATCACTTCCGACGGATCTGAGTCCTCGCTTCGCACTGGAAGTGGTCCTCGACTTCACCACCGATTCACTGATTTTGTGTTTAATTCACTTTCGCTTTAATTCTCATTTGTATCGCTTTTCTCTCCATTTCTGTGGTTTGTATTTACGCCTAAAGGATTCTATTCATTATCACCGACACTACCATTGATGGACTCATCGGTGAACTCAGAGTTAACATTACACTTGGGCCACACGTGTGACTCACTGTCGATATAGTGATCATTTCTTCAGCACTTCTCAATCCATTGATTTCTTGCGTTTCATGTCTTATATTGTCTCCACTTGCATTTATGTTAAACTAAATCACTATAGAAACTAAATTAAACCTACAATAAATTAACAATCTGTTCCACTAATATTAGTTATACCCAATATATAAAATAAAATTTTAAAATTTGTTTGAAATTAATCTCATAATATGAATCATTAATTAATTTAAAAATATTACTATAGTGGTTATAATTGTACATTTGGTGATATCTCACATATTGTAGTGTGTGATATGAAATAACTTATTGTAAGTTATAAATAATAGTGAAATGAAATATTATGATTAAAATCGATGTTAACATCATAATCCATATAGTATTAAGTACAATAGTGGCACACTATTTATTTACAGCAAAATTAACCTGTTATTTTAACAATATTGTATAAATTAAAATATTTGTATAGTTGTTGAATTATATTTTCCAATAGAATACACCATTATCTACCGGTGCAACGAATTCTACTCCAGAATAAATCACATTGCTAAATATATGGGTCATTTAACTTGCAGTACTACAATTATATATATTACAAAATGAACAATGACCTTTTAATAATTAATAACAAAATAATTGCCCATAAGCACACAAATAATATCCATATTCTGAATTGTCACATAATAGTGATTGGTCAAATATAGGAATAAATAATGATTGTATTTAATCATTAAATGATATAGTGGATTAAAATTTTACAGCTAAGATTGTTAGCTGATTTCATAGTAGATATAAGTAGTATGAAAATCATGGTAATAATTAATAAGATTATCAAAATCAGTGACCTAAGGTTTCACAAAATAAGAGAGGTCAATATATAAAAATAATTATCCAATTAAATCCAATGCATTTTTCAATAGACTTACGATGTGGACACCGAACATATTAACATAAAATATTAAATTGATTTCAATTTTTCCCATAACATATAAAATCCCATTCAATAAATCTGTTTGCCTAGCTTCTATTAAAAATGGGATTTGTATGGTTTAGGGCTCACAGTTAAATGCATAACATGATTGACCTCTCATACTGTATCATTGCTTTTACCTTTTTGCCCCACCTTTACATATGGGCCATTTTAGGGCATTTCCCGGCAAGGTTCTTTAGAAAATTGTATGTCACAAAACTGTCACAATGTTGCCATACAGTATTATATCCTAAAATAATCAGTTGAGAAACAAATAAATGGGTCATTTTACAATCCTTGGTATTTATTGATAATCCCTATATAATTGGTATGAATGTTCTGTTTAGAGAAAAATGACCACGAACATTATATTAGAAAAATGAAACCAATTTATAATAAATGATCTGAAAATGAACTAATTTTTGTATCGCAACATGTTCAATTGATTCGTAAGTATAAATAAATAGAATTTTCCACTTTATAATATTTCATAATTTAAACGAACTTTAGTTCACTATAATATTATAATACAATTGTGCAATCTCAATTTATTAGATTAACTGAAAATACTATATAATTAAAATTCAAATATCATGTTTGTTCAGTTTGTTATCACTTTTTGTGTATATATCCTTAATTCAAGTTAACAATGTAATACACAATCTATAATAAATTTACACTTAAATATCATCAAGCAAGCAATTAATTTCAAGTGCACGTCGTTCCTAATTTTTGATATCTCATAAATATCTCAATTTTCATATGTTTTTGCAATAATTATCTAAATCTAGCTTGGGGTATTAATTTTGACTATGTGTTTATTAGGCAATTAAATATATCTGGTATATATATAAGTCGTGTTGATTTTATAATTAATTGTATAAAATCAATAAATACTAAATAATAAACAAAACTAGATTAATACTTGGTTTGAACATGGTGGTTCCTAATTATTTAGCAACTATTTTATACTTATTTATATTTACAGTAAACCTAACATTATGTCTGAAAAATGACGATCAAATCATTGACCTCCCGGGGCTATCAGAAAAAGCAAATTTCCGACAATACTCGGGGTATATCGACATCAGAGACGGCAAACACTACTTCTATTGGTTCGTCGAGAGCCAGAAAGACCCTGAAAAGTGACCGGTCATCCTATGGTTACAGGGAGGGCCCGGTTGTAGTTCCCTATTCGGGGCGCTCGTAGAGAACGGGCCCTTCCGGGTGTCTCCGGACGGCAAACGTGTCGACCAAACCCCGTGGGCCTGGAATACAGTGGCGAATGTGGTATACCTCGAGTCGCCAATAGGCGTGGGCTTCAGTTATAGCGACGATAAACTGTATAACAGTACTGACGAGTCGACCGCCGAGGATAACCATCTGTTCATCGAAGGGTTCTTTAAGAAGTACCAGTCATTTAAGGGAAATCCGTTTTATATCGCCGGCGAGAGTTATGGCGGTATTTACTGCCCGATGTTAGCCCAACGTATACTCCGATCGAAATCCGATATCAATCTAAAGGGTTTGTAATGTTTATACATTTTTAAATTGATTTGTTAAAAATAAGATTTTAGTTTTAGTAAATTTACATTTATTTAAATACTATAAATAATTTTTATATTTAATATTATTTTTTGCCAAGTGTTTGTCCAATACAAACGACTATATAATGAATAGGTTTTATAATTGTTTTGGGACTCATATTAGAGTTAGTATTTTCAATCATCCTAAGCTGGCATTAGCAAGCATAATTTATTTTGTAATATATTTTTTTATTGTAAATTAGTGTCAATTAATATGCTTTTTTAATCGCTTAATAACAATTAATGGCTACAAATATACACAATTTTATATACAATTCTTATGTAAACAGCATTTCCGACAGACATCGGGTGTATTTATGAACATTATGTTCAATAGAGATGAATATCTTATGACATGTAAGGATGGGTTTAGGAGTATCCTGGTCAATTTTCTTCCTATTTTAATTAAAACTCTAAAGACTTTAAAAGTGAAAGTTTGTTAAATAGTTTTATTACCAGTTTTATCATCATTTGGCGTATTTTAAAAATATAAAATTGTGTATAAATAAACTTAAAATATTTCATATCACACAATATATGGACTATCTATCCCTCTATAAATTGGTGAACAATGTTTCCAAATATATTAAAGGGGGTTGAGGTGGCAGGAGGGCAATGGTGTTTCTCTACTAAAAAGCACCCATGTATTTATAGGTGTTATTATTGGCAATGGAATCCAGAATTTGGACAAATATCAAGCTCAACCAACTGCCGACTTCCTATTGGGTCACGGATTAATCAAAACGGATTTATTTGAGAAAAAGATTGAAAACTGTTGTCAATGCAAATCGGGAGACGTTCAACGCGAATGTGATTTCCTTGAACCTTTTAACAAAACGTATAAATAATTTTTAAAATAACTTTAAAATTAATTATATAAAATAATTTATATTATAAAATTCAGTATCAGGGTGACCACAAGAATATTATTCACATAGAATTATAAAACATTTTTGTTTATAAAAATGAGGGTTTTTTATTTAGCAGTAAATTAGAGCATATATAGTACCCATAGAGTAATTTAATTATAATATTATGTCATTTAATAAATTTTACTATACTGATAGCTTAAGCATTTATATAAAATCCTATTACTGTAAAATAGTGATCAAGCTATTTTAATTTTATTCATTTACAGCAAATGCGATTCAGTGGAATTAATCGAGGTACATCCGGTAAACTACTACAATATTTACGACAAATGTCCGCCACCGACGGCATACATTACAAATTATAACAACTACTTCGCGCGGATGTACAGCAGACCACCGATGATGTCCTTTAACGCCAATCACTACGACGACTGTCCCACATATAAACACATCGATTGGATAAACACACCGGAAGTACGAAAGGCTCTTCACGTAAGTATCGATGACACTCATAAATGGGCGGATTGTACGGACGGCATATACCACTATACAAAACCCACCCCACAATTCCCAGTTATCAACGAACTTTTCGATGTCTATAATCTTGAAAAGTTTGTCGCATTTAACGGCAATTTTGACACAATGTGCGACCACATAACGACCCAGTATTTTATCGATAGTCTGGGTATTAGTAAAATGAGTGGCTATAGGTATGTTCCGGCTTATTTTTATATCATAAGTAGGAATGCAATAAAAATGGATAAAAAGTGGGTATTATAAATGCGGCTATACCTCTATCCCTGTGATTAATACAAAACTCTTTCACTATCGTAATCAGTTTTTGATTTTCAAAAATATTAATACTTTATAATAAGTTTATATGAATATTAGTTTATATAAATACTTATTTGATCAAATTGTATGACTATTTATAATAATTTTCTTTAAATTTCTTGATTACTCAGTATATTTTATTATTCATAATTTATTTTTTAATCGATTAATAAAAGTTTGAGTATTTTATCAATTGAATACTCATATAAAATTATTATAAAGGATTAAAATATTAAAAATCAAAAATCGATTAAAATAGTGAATAAGTTTTGTATTAATCGCAGTGATACAGGTATAGCCACATTTATAATACCCATTTTTTGTCCATTTTTATTGCATTCCTAATCATAAGTCATCAATAACTATATAATAAGTTTTATTTATACATAATTTTTTAAAAATTTTTTCTAATTGGTTATAAAATTAATTATATCTGTTTATTATGACCATACCAGTATGATAGATAAAATTATTTTGAAATTTTTTAGACCTTGGTATAAATCGGACGGAAGCGTAGCCGGTTATGTCCAAAACTACAAAAGGGGTGTTACCTGGGTGTTAGTGTTGGCAGCCGGGCATATGGTGCCACAGAACCAGCCCGACTCGGCCCTACAGATGATTAAAATGGTTGTCGATATTAAAACTTAATTAATCTGTATAATTTATCAATTAATTGTCATATACGATAATATATACCGGTATATAAAATTTAATTAATAAATATAAAAATATTAATTAAACTATTTTACCCACATTTATGCAATTTTTAAGAATAAATTATTTTTATTTTAAACACTTTATTTCAATTTCAGTCAAATTGATAACAAATTCAAAGTTTAAAATACTGTATTTTATATAATTTATATATATCGTAAAACATTGGTTAAAATTCTTGAATTTTAAAACATTAAATTTAAAAGTCTAATCAATATATTAATACTATTTGTGTTTTCAATTGAATAAATGATTATTAATTGGAATAATAATTAAGTCAATAAT